AAAAAAAAAAAAAAAAAAAAAAAGACAAAAAGAAACTTTTCCATTTTCTAATATTTCTATCTCATTGAATGAACGGGAAAAAACTGGTTCTTCAGCTTTCTAATTAGATTACTCTGCAGTTTTAATTCCAAGAAAAAAAAGAAGACGCTAGGAAATAAAAAGCTAAAAAATGGCTGATAATAGGAGAAATTAAAAAGAAACTTCTTGATAAGTTACAGTCATTCATCACCACTCGCGGATATATTGCAATAAAAACTACGGTACCAAGTGCTTTAAAGATGGACTTGAAAATTGAAACATTCTTTTCGGCTCAGATTACCATCAATTTTGGTTAAAATTGGAACTGATGATCAGCAAACAATTTGGTTGTTAAACAAAGAACAATATAAACATACGATAAGCGAATGTTTATCAACAGAATCATTGTTTTTCAGGTAGTCAAATAGCGAAAAAAAGAAAAAATTCTTCTCTTTTTCTTTTATAACTGCATGGGAAATTAACCTAACAATTGGTAGTACATAAGCTGCTGTTTCTATATCAGTAGACAAACTACTATGGGAAACAAATAGGCATGTAATTTGATGTCTTTATATTATTGTCTAAAAAAAAAACACTGGTAACTAAAGGAGAAAAGGAGGCAACAGAAATTAAGGAAGACGTTTGTTGCATTTGTTTTCAATTTTTTACATTAATACAAATTAAAGTTTATTCTCAATTTTAAACTGTAAAAAATGGTGAAAAAAATTAGACACTTTTTCTGTAACAAAATGGCAAACATAAGCACTAAAAAGGTTGCTGGAAAAGAAAAAAGACCTATGTTTTATTGAAAAAGAAAATGTCAAAATAAATGAACATTTAAAAAAATTCATTAGAATTATTTATTAACAAAAAAAAAGGTGCATTAATGCGCCAATGACAAAGAACAAATGTTGAAAAACGAAGCTCTAATAAACGCATATAATTTGTTCCTCTGTATCGTCGTCAACAATATCCCTGAAGAATATATATATATCATCTGTTAAATAATCTCACCCAAAAAGCAAGCCATAAATGTCTTCTTATTATTGCCATGTTGCCATTAACGTTGATACTGATGCTGATGCCGTTGGGTCTTTCCTTATAGACAGCATCAACCAATGTTCCACCTACTTCCGATGGGCAAGGCCTTGCCGCTGTGCGAGAACCAACAGAATGTTTAGAGATCATGAATTTTGATAATGGCTGCCGGTCACCGAAAACCTACACCTTTTCTATTGGCTGCCATCTTTGACCCTCCCTCCTCTCAAAGCCTCTAAAAACGCGAAAAGACCAATAAATTCAATAAATTCTAATCTAAATAATACTGTTTAAAGCCTTCCAGTAGCTTAATCACAAGGATAGCACATCAGGAAAATGTATGAAAAGTCTAAGCTGCGAACTTGAATTCCACCGAAAACCCAAGCTTTGCTCAACATTTTGACTAAAAATAGGTGAATTTCTCGACACCCCCTCTCTATCAGCGATCACTTCTGAAAACTTCTGCCTCTTTCAGTACACGTGTAGTATAGTTCTTAAAAAAAAAAAAAAAAGAAGGTACAAATATTATTATTCTCATTTTCTTTCTTTCTTTCTTTTCCCGTTTCTATTAACTTCTCTCATAACAACGAGGCCAACCATCAAAATCTTAGAAAAGAAACAATATAGTTGAAATAAACAAGAAATATAATTCTGTCAGCTCTTTTCACGGTTTTTTTTTTAAAACAAGTGCATTAGTGGTAATACAGATAATTTTGCCTTCTGCTTTAGCAAGTCAAAAATAAAAAAAAACAGAAAAAAAAAAAAAGAAAGGTCAAAAAACTAATGCTTTTTTTTTGTAACCTAATCGTTTCTTTTCGCTCATCTAAGTTTTTTTTTTTTTTTTCTGCCGATTATACATTGACAACTGTTAATATCTTAATGGCAAAAGAGTAAAAAGAGAGAAAAAAAAAAAGAAGTTTATTTTAAGTTGTTTTTGCTACTTTTCTGTCTTTATAATGTCTGAAAATAACCTGTTCAACTTGCCTTTTTTTTTTTTTCTGTTCTATTGATGGTACTTAAACATACTACTCAATTCTTAGCAGTTACTGCTGTTTTGGAGTACTACAACAGTAAATGTTCAAACAGAGTAACAAGTTATTTTACTTGAATAAACATCTATACCCTGTTTAACAAGAACAACTATTCAGTACCACTACCGTCACTATCAACAGCAACAGCAACAGCAACAGCAACAGCAACTAAACCATTGACAATACCGACGACAATGGTTCTATTTAAAATGTCGGCAACGGTCTGAAAATATTTAAAGCAATAGCATTATGTTCAAAACTTAAACTAATATAGCTTCCGCAGATGTCCACACATTTCCATTTCAAAAGAATAAATTTATTTTCAGCAAAACGAGCAAAAAAAAAAAAATCATCAT